AAATGCTGTCTCTGAGTAAGGTAGATCTGAGTTTGCCTTAGTCACTGTTTTTTTCTCTTGTCTTAGTACATCCACGTGTTCCTGAATGAAGTGACTATTATAGTTGAAGTGCTGAATGAAGCCAAACACTCCTTTGCACTGTATACACCTGAGAGGACAAAGCAGCGATGGCCAATCCGTCTGGCAGCCACCACAGAGCAAGAAATGCATGACTGGGTAATTCTGGGCATTTGTCATTTCAGGCTGCCAATATCTGCAATAAAATAAAAGCTAGTCTCTGAAATCCCAGCATCACATTTACACTGTCTAGGCTACTCAGCTGGTTTCAGAGTTTGGGTGTTTAAAATGTATGATCACACTTATTTAGGGGCACCTGAGGCTTCTGATCTCCTCTGGAGTTTGCACTCTTTCTAGTGCTGCAGTTATCCACAGCAGAACAAATATTGTTTTCCATTCCATTCCTATCTCTGGATATAGATTAGAGTAAAGTGAGTTAGGAGTTGAATACAGGTAGTCTTTTCTTCTGCATTGGTAGAAGAACCATTATCTGTTGTCATTGTTGTAGAGAGTCCTATGTACAGACAGGCAGGTATATAAACACTGCAGCAAGGGAAAACCTGTAAGATACTTCATCCTGAGCAGCTCCTGCAAAGCACAGTGGATCCAGTGTGTAATAGTTCCTAAACCACTGAATTCTAGTGCCTTTGAGAAAAGGCTGCAAATTCACCTTTCTGAATTGCAAGAACATGTAAAGGTAAAACTTGGTTTTACAGTACTGGGCATCTATATGGGAAATTTGTTCTCACTGCAAATGGAAACTTTTGGTTCTTTGCTTCTTGTTTTGTAGCTGTCCTTGCTGAACATGTCCTGCTGTGAAAGCAGACGGATTCAAGGACCTCCTTCTCACCATGCCATTTGGTCAGTCACTTGTAAAGGAGACATCTTTGTCAGTGAGCCAAGTCCTGAGCTGGAGGCTGGACCACAGCTGATGTCCTGTGATCAAATGTAAGAGGTTTCAGAAGCTGTTCCTTGTGCATGGGATGATGGCATCCAGCAAAAAATGTCCTTCATGTCAGTTCAGTGGCTTTGATGGGCTGTTGGAGTGTACAGTACACTGCAGATGTCTGTCAGTTGCAAGGTTAAGTTCATAGTTATGATTGACTGTGTAGAAATTCACCAAATCTTACTTTGATTCTTAGATGCTGGAGCTATTTATGTGATTTCAAAAGCCTTTCTCATTGAGATCCCATTTTTTGTGTTTGCATCCTTAATGCCATAATTACTTAAAAGATGGCCTAGACTAAAAGTAAACCTAATCACTGCAATTGTAATGTAATTTGAGCTTTCAGTTTTATCTGAGCCAGGAAATCTGATATTCTCAGTCCTTCACAGACACTGCAGTCCACGAGCAGCTCCTTTAGAGCTTCTGTCATGACTGTGACAGTATGATACTGCAAACTCCTCAAGCTAAAAAATGCCATCTACCTATTAGGAGTTTTCAGAGGGAAATGCTTCCAACTGGCAGCTGTCTTCACATCCAGGTTGCCCAGTGATTGAACAAGTGAGCACATAAAGTGGCCTGTCCTGAAGTTGGTTGAGTTGTAGGAGGGGGCAGCACACATTCCTGATGGATGCAGAGTAAAATGCTGTCCTTTTTCTGGCAGGTTTTGGCGTCAGGTTGGAGGTCATCTGCGGCTGATAGAGTGCAACAGCCGAGGTGTGGTGTGGGGCATCGGCTACGATCACACGGCTTGGGTTTATACTGGTGGATATGGAGGTGGATTCAATCAAGGTACAGGTGATTGGTGTGCTGTGGTGTGCACATTTCTAACTGACCTTCTTCTTCAGGTCAGCTAGTCAAGCTCTGTCTGCTGTCCTTCCCTAGGCTAATGTGTAGGGTTGTGCAGTGAAGGCCACACAGTTGGGAAGAATTGGTATTGCAGTTTTATATTTTCAGCTTAAGAGAAATAGGCAGCAATATTACAGTGGCTATAGGATTTTAACATGTAGTGTCTTCAAGCTTCAGCTTTAATCCAAATCATTTATTTCCCACAGGACTGGCCAGTAGTGCTGACAACATCTACACCCAGTCAGATGTGAAATGTGTTTACATCTACGAGAACCAGCGGTGGAACCCAGTCACTGGCTACAGCAGCAGGTTGCTTACTCAGTTTGTCATACTTATTTACTGTACTGTGACTGCTGTCAAGTGAAACAAGGGGTTTGTTCTAGCTTTTCAGAATAGTTATTGCAGTTATTCTGTCTCCAGTCTCCTCCAGCATTATAGTTAACCTGAGCTGGAAGGAGTAGTGTTTCTCAATTTTCTCATTGGTAATTATCCATTCAAAATGCATTTGTGGCAAAACATTACAGATTGCACAAAGTGTTGCCTCCTTGCAATATCTCACACTGGTAAGGCCAACACGGGAAAGATATTAGGATCTGTATATTCATATACATGTTGTGCTAAATATAATGGATCCTTGAATAGTATATTTGAACAAAAGTCTTGAAAAATGTATATTCATATCTATGGGTGTCTGTGCCAGAGAAACTCAGGATTCAATATCACTCTACAGAGAAAGTTTCCATGGTCCTGAAGTTTGGAGCAACTGGATGCAATTGTACAGATTCTTTCCCACTATCCTCATCACTCACATGATATTTCCAAACACAGAGATTAATGCCAGCAGAGTGTTTTGTGTCTGCAAGTAGGAAGTGCTACAAATAGGCTTTTCTTCCCTTGCCTTTTAAACTCTCTCTTGTAAATGACCTTGCATTCTTCATGTGCTGTTCCACCACAGAGGTCTGCCCACAGACAGATACATGTGGAGTGATGCA